TAAAGTCGATCGTTGAAGGGACAGCTCGCTCGTACATCTCTTTAGTTGTAGTTGTATTCACATAACGTATACTTCAAAAGTGCTCTCTCTTTCTGTCTCTCTCTCTCATCAAATCAATATCTTTAACATATAATTATAGATTCTCAAACAGCAGCCATATGGATATTATTCTCTTTAGGGTTTCATCAACTGGAAGCTCTAAGTGCTCGGGGGAGTTTTTCTCTTAACAATCAATATGGAAAGGGGTAGTCGGTTTCCCTTTCTCATGTGTGTATATCTAGATACTTTTTTTTAGATTTATGTATTTATAGTAACTTTTTCTTTGTTAATTTGACAAATGAAAAATGAAGTACAGTCGAAAAATTCGTTATCTTTCTAGGATATAGTATACATTAAGGGGGGTTCTAGTTCTTCTTACGGATATACATACATATACTTGTGGTATAGGAGTATGTGTAATTGATTTAACTATAAATTTGATTTATGCTTCGATCTCGATTCGATTTCAGTTGTATCTGTTGCCCGCTAAAGATTGTGACAAGTACATTTAGGCTATTCGTTACTTGCTATGCTTTATGCTATATTTTCGATTCGATTCGATTCGCTAGATCAAGATCTTTATAATTGAATTGTTGCATTATTGTCAGTAGTTTACGTTAATTTACCTCTAAACATATATTCGAGTGGTTACAAGCAACATTCAAACGTTTTCTTTATCTTTTGTCTGTTCTCCGATATGATAAGCATAATTGGCTACTCGATATCCTTCGATGCTCCACCTCACTGCCTCTCCATGCTTTCTTCTACTGCATATATTACACACTTACAATCTGTTGGATGATGCTTCTGTATCTGTACACACGACTCCTCCTAATCAGCGATGTGGCAACTTGGCCAATTTGTAATTGTAATTTTGGCAGGGCACACAAATACCAAACGAGAACAGAAAAATTGCAATTCAATGGGTCCTCGTCCTCCTCCTCATCCTCATCCTCGTCCGCATCTGAATCCTCATCCGTATCTGAGTCCACATCCACATCCTCTGTCCCTACGATCGATAGCAATTTAATTGAGCGCTAACATTCATATTCCAGTATGAAGCTCTCGCCTCCGGCTCCGAGTCCTCCCAGTCCGGGTCCGGGTACGACTCCTGCTGCAGTCACTGGCTTCGCTGTGGCCCTTGCATGTTGCTGATGCTGATGTGGCAATAGCGTGGCAGATGTTGTTGCCACCGAGCCCGTGCCCTGCTGCGAGGTGGAAGCTCTGCTTAAATTTACTTGTGACAACATTGCGGTTGCCGTTAATTTGCCATTGTATGCCACCGCCGGAGTCAGTGTGGGCGTCGGCGTGGGCGGACCGTGTCCGTAATAGTTCAGAGCGGAGGTTAGCGGCACGGCCTGCTGCAGCTGCTGCTGGGGGCGTCGTTGCATCTGCTGCTTGGATAGATAATCCGTGGACGTATTTGCCGTGGCATTGCGCAACGTTATGAAGGTGTCAAAGTTTTCGGCTGTGGAAGAGGCATTCGAGGTGCTGGAGTTGCGGCGCGGCGCCAAATGCTGCTGCTGTTTGGGGAGATTCAGATTTAGCTTCAGCTGCTGCTGCTGCGACATTGACGAGTTCGATGAGGAGGAGTTAGATAGCGACGAAGAGTTTACAGAGTGCGCGGGAGGATGCTGCTGCTGATTCGCATAGTATTTGCGCAAATTCTCCAGCATGTAGCGATTGTTTGCGTTTCCGTTTCCGGTTGCCCCTCCTAATGCAGCTGTGGGTGCTGCTGCTGCTGTTGCTGATGTTGCTGTCGGATGAAACTGCGGCATGGCAGATGACACTGCTGCTGCTCCTGTAACTGCTGCTGATGCTGCGGTTGGCGTCATCGTTATCTGCTGCTGCTTGCTGCTGGTGGCATACAGAGCATCGCCACCCAATCCCAGTCCCAGTCCCAATCCGTGTCCCATTCCCATTCCCAATCCTTGTTCTTGTGGCAGAGCCAAATTGATGACACTGCCGGTTGTAGCTGGCATTGCGGTGGCTCCTCCTGTTGCTGCTCCTCCTGCTACTATCCCTGCCATTGGTGGTTGTCGTCGTTCCATCTCCAGTCCATAGCGGGTGGCAGCCGCCTTCCGACCTCCTCCTCCAGCTGCAGCGGCTGCCCCTCGAACTTCTCCCTGATAGCTGCGGGCATAGTGCGCCTCCATCAAGTCCGCCCGTCGCTGTTTCGTGGCATACACGGCCTCATCCGTGCCGTCGTCTGCTCCTCCTCGCCCAAATCCATAGTAGTCGCCGCGCTGGTAGTGCTGCGATGAGGACAGGGCACGCTCGAATTCGTTGCGACCACGCTGCCGCTGGAAGTGGTCCAGGTAGCTCTCACCGCCGCTGGCAGCTCCGGCCAAAAGGAGATGGTCTGCCTCGTGGTTCTTACTCTGCGGATGCTCCTCCTCCTCCTCGTCGACTGGGCCTTCTGTGGCACTTGCCAGCTGCTGCTGCTGTCGCTGCAAATGCTGATTGAGAGATTGGTAGAATGTGCTTTCGGCCAGATTCTCATTATATGTCGTCGGCTGCTGCCAATCAGCGTCTTCGCATTCGTTGACGCTGACGCGAATTCGTATGTCCCGGGCCGTGTAATCAGGCTCTCCACCGGCAGTAGCAGCCGCCAGCATTCCGCCAGTTACAGCTCCGACATCGTCCGCATCCTCATCGTCATCGTCGTCGTCGTCCTCGTCGTCGTCGCCGTAGAAAAATCTCGCTGATTTGGCGCTTTCCGCCAGGAGCAGGTCCTCGCTCTCCTCGAGGGCCAGCGCGTAACTCGTTAGGTTGTCAAAGTAGTATTCGCACATTTTGTCCGGGTGCTCGTAGCGCAATTTGAATTCCTTCGATTCCCGCGATTCCTCCAGAGCCTGCGGCAGTGGCTCCAACTGTGGGTGGACGATGGCTGGCAACTCCTTCTCACGCTTTGTCGCTGTTGTTGGGCCACTGAACACGGAGGCATAGTCCGAGCTGCTCATCGAGTCCGAATTGAGGGCCGCCGTGCGTCGCGTGGATTTGGAGGCAATGGGCAGTGTGCCCAGATTCTCGTAGTTAGCAGGAAGTCCACCCCCATTGTTTGCCTGCGATTGGCTGCGCTTGTGGCGTCTTCGCGGCGTCTCCGGCTGAGGATGTGGATGTGGATGGGGCTGCGTGGCCAAGGCCCTTCGCTGGGAGCCGCTCACGCGGCCCACCGAGTGAGCCGACTGCTTCGTCGTGCTCAGGTGCTGGTCAAAGTTCTCCTCCAGGTAGGCGTCCAGGTAATGGAGGTTCTTGCTCAGATCGATCTCAGACTTGTAGCTCTTGTAGATGGTGGCCTGCTTGCAGCGCGACTCGTAGTTGGAGATATGTGCACGGTCGCTGATGAAGCGGAAACTCTCGTCCTTCGCGAGGGTGTGGAAGCCACTGAACTCGCTGCCAGACCCCCCTTCGGAGCCACTGCTGGTCTTGAAGTTGCGACATTTGTCGCGTATCTTCTGGATGCCCTGTCGCGTCTTGGCCTGCAGCCGCTCAAAGTAGTTGGCCTTGGCAGCGGTACTGGATGGCGTCTGGGTCTGCAGTCGTGGATGGTAGGCCGTGTGCTGGATGTCGTAGCCTCCGCTTCCGGCGGCCCGCATGCTCTGGATGCTGTGCGTGCGATTGGGATAGCTGAGCTTCAGCTTTGGCAGCGATGGTGGGTCCTCGGACCTGTGATGGAGTTTCCTCAAGGACAGCTGCTTGAAGATCGCCTTGGATCGCTTGGCCTTGCCAGTGGTGGTTCGTCTATCGTGATCTTGATCAAAGTCCTGCCGCTCGAAGCGGCGCACAGGGACTCCGTGTAGGTAATGATGATCTGGTGGGGTGGGATTCGGTCTTGACGACTCGAACAAGCGCCGCAGGCCACGTCCTGTGCGCTGGGGACGCGCACTCCGGGCACTCGTTGCACTTCTCAGTCGAGTATTCACACTCAAAGTGAGGATTTCATCATCGTGGAAGATGGAAAAGGGATTCGTGATCACCGTGGAGCTATCGTTGGCTCCCTGGGATGCTGTTAGACTGCTTACGGATCTAGTCTTAAGGCTAGCGTTACTCGTACTATATCTATTCTGGCTTATGGCTACTTCCTGCTGCTGCTTACTGTCTAATACAACTACAACTTTGGCTTCATTGTGTTGGTGTGGTTTCTGGGGAAAGTTCTGAGGCACAGGCACAGGCACCGGCACCCTTTGTCCCAGATCCGTCTCGGACCGGGAGCGAGAGCGTGTGCCCTGGGCACGGTTGCGCCTCTTCAGGCGTCGCAGCTCCTTCAAGGAGTTACTCTGCTTGCGAAAGCGATAGAACGGATTGTTAATGCTCAGCCTTTGCAGCAACAATTGGGTTTCCTCCGGCGACAGGATGGACTCCAGCTGCTGCTGCTGCTGCTGCTGCTGCCGCTTCTGCTGGATCATTAATTCCTCCGTCTTCGCTTCTTCCTCCTCTTCGTTGGTCACATTCAGATTGAGCAGCTTGGCCGCACTTGGGGGCTTGGGTGCACTATTCATATTGTTCTCTAGATCTCCGTTACTCTTACTGCAGCTGCTGCTGCTACTTTTGCTACTGTTTAAGGAACCCTCGCTATTGTTGCTACTGTTGCTGTTACTGCTACTTTTGTTGTTGCTCTTAATGTTGCTTCTGCTGCAAGTACTTTTGCTGCTGCTGCTGCTGCTGCCACTTTGGGCAGCTGCCTCTAAAGTATTCGTATTCGTATTATCGCTATTGGTCAGTCCCGTTGTCGTCGTTGTGGAGCTCTTGTGGTTGTTGTTGTTATTGTGACACCCAACATGGCTGTCATCCACTTCCGGTTCGAGTTCGAGTTCTTGGGTGTTGTGTGGGTGTTGGTGTTCTTGGTCTTGGTGTTCGTGTGGTTGTTGTTTCTGGTTTTGTTGGTGTTCGTTGGATTCGCTATCAATTGCCTGCTAGACTCTAGTGGGCGGTTGTAATATCATTGCAGCCATGCGTACCTTCATTGCCTCCGGCGATCCATGTCCCGGATACTGTTGCTGTGGATGCTGCGAGGCGGCATGTAGGGCCGCTGCTGCTGCCACTGCCGCAGCAGCCTGCTGTTGTTGCTGCTGCTGTTGTTGCTGCTGCTGCTGCTGCTGCTGTTGGTGATGATGGAAGCCGGCGGGCGTCGTGTAAATCGAATCACCTTGAGGGCCACTCGTGCTATCGGAGCGTGATTTCAAATCAGCTTTCTCGCTGCGGGGGAATGGGGAAACGAGAAGAAATCGTTAGCCAAAATTGTTTGCCCAAGTGACAATTGTGTGGGTGGTGGTTAAGTGGTTGGGTGGGGTCTGGTGTGGTCTGGTCTGGTTCGAGGGGTCTTCTGACTGATGCTAGATTCGGTGGCCTATTGGCTGGGATGGTGGCCTTCGGTAGGGGCTTGGGGTATCTTCTATCGCTGATTGCCAAATTGTATCCCTCACGCATATCTGAATATCTATTTAGTTTTTGTCGCCGTTGCCTCGCTCCAGGCATTTGTTTACTTGGGGTTTAGGAAATTAGATATCCTCCCAGAATGCTTCCACTTTTGCTTTTCTGAGGAAAATGCTGGCCTGAACTAAAAACGTTGGCCTAAATGAGTTTCGGTCATGTTTTCGGTCGCATATAAATCGAATATTGTTCTGGCCGTTGGTGCGGAAATTCTAAATCCATTTCCGCCACGTTCATCGCCCCACCGTATTGACGTGCCTGGTGCCCCAGAAATGTAGTATGTAGTGTATATTGCGTACTATAGAATTTCATGGAGATGATAGTGTGTGCATTCCATATTTCATAAACAAAAAATATAGTAATTTTAAAATGGAAAAACAAGCGGAGGAGCACAGAGGTCTCTGGATATAGGGATGGCCCGACCAACCGCTCATAACTCATATTGCACGTACAGACAGAGGGGGCAGGGTGTTGGGGACAGGAGGCAGGCAGGCAACAATGAGCGATAGGCTTGCTACCTCTACCTCTACCTCTACTTCTCTTTCGCTCTGTTGCGCTACCAAAACACAGAAAAATACTACCAAAATGCTCTGTAACTAAATGAGGTATATTAGAGTTTTGTAGCATATTGGGTAAAGGAATATTATGCAGGAGAAATACTGCAAAAAAGGTGACAAACTGACAAAAAAAGCAGTAGCTTTCACAGCTTCTACCAGAGAAAACTCATAGTGGGGTACTTTATAATTAAAAGATGATTCCTATAGCATGATCACGGAAAGATATTGCCTCAAAAAACCCCTTATGCCAGAAGCTTTCGGAAAATATAACACCGAAACTCCGATTCCAACTATTTTCACGCTAAAGGCCACTACTTTTTCCACCTTTGGTAAGAGTATTCTACCATTCTTTCTTGGCTAAACAAAACTGTTTCGCTTGCCAAAAAGGCAAACCCCTTGCCAACCCCTTCCGACCACGCCCCTACCCGCATATATTGAATATATGAAAAATGTATAATATTTTATGCAGCACACACCTACACGGAGACGCACGGAGATGCAGTGAAAAGCATTTTTCATTGTTCCTCCCTTTGTGTACGTATAGGTGTGTATGTGTGTGTGAGTGTGTGAGTGCGAGTGTGCGTTGTGCCGTATTCGGACAGTAGGGGCGCATAAATTGGCATGCCAGCGCCACCTGTTGGCTGCCGCTGCATAAAAAAATATATATCAAAATGGTCATTTATCTATGAGAATACGTGTGTTCCCAGTTTGTGTGGGGGTGCTAGGGAGGAAAGGGGAGGCTGGGTGGCAGGGTGGCAGGGTGTGTACGTATTACGCTTCAACTTACCTGTCTTTATCCGATGATTTATAGCCAGTGGAACCTGTGCGCGCCGCCATGTAAGAAGTCGAATGGGGGGGGTAGAAAAATGGGATGAAACAAGAGAGAAAATGTTATATTAGAGTTCTGGCAATATGCAGGAATATATTTCGCCCCAATAGAATGGTATTTCAAGAAGGGGTTTTGTGTTTGTAAAATAGTAGAAATTAGCTGTGAAACCAGACATGCATATATCTGTGAACATATTGCCCCAACCCCCCTCCCCTTGTTACGATTGATAAATGAGCCATCGACTTATTGATTGCGAAACGTGTAAAGTGCTGAGAAATTTTGATGGATCTCAAAAGGGGTGTAACTTTAGAGCGTAGCGCGTGTGTTGATGGGTGTCGGGTCGCACTTGAGAGATCTGTCAAACGACATTTGACAACTTGACGCCAGCTGCAGCAGTCAGTCAGTCAGTCACTCACTCTACTCAACAAATTGACAACTTGATTGACAACTGAGAAATTGCGATTAGCCGGTGAAAAGTGTTTACAGATCATGTGGATAGGATATATGAAAAGGATGTATGCCCCTCGAATGCCCTTGAGCAAAGGCGAGCAAAAAGTTTATCCATTTCCACTTTTATCCCGTGGATTCTTTTGTAAATTGTTTTACAATTGTTGAGGCGAAAAAAGTTTTTCCCGCGCTCTCATTTTCCTTTTTTTTTTCTCGTCTGAATTTTGATTTCTAATTAGGCAAAGCTCTGGCTTGCCACACAGACAGAGGGCGGAAAAGCGCTAGATGAAATTTCTGTAGCGTCAAACAAAAAGCTGGCCAGAAGACCTTAACCCTTTTGTGTGCTAACCAGAAGACCAGAAGACAGGATGGAGACAGGGGGGAAGGTTTAACAGGAAACGCAGACTGCGACTGCGACTGACCGCAGGCGTTGGACGCTAATGAATATTTTATGAGATTTATTTGAGTTTCGAGTTTCAAGTAGAAATAAGAGTATTCGCAGCACAAAGGGGAAAGAGGGAGTGAGGGCGAGGGAGAGAAGGAGAGACGCATCCCTCTTCTAGGCAGCCATTTTTTCCGCTTTTTCGCTTTTCCTCCCTCTCGCGCATTTCTCCGCTTTGTGTGTGTTTCTGTGTGTCGGCTGCAAGTTTTTGTGTTTTTGCAATTAGTGCGACAGCGGACAGAAGAGGGAAAGGGGTCTGGGGGAAGGTGTGGGATGTGGTAGGGCAGGCTCCGTAATGAAGAAGGAAGTTTTAATTGTCGCGGCCTTGACAGCAACGCCTCGTAATTAATAGCACAGCTCTGGTCTGATAATTGTTCTGTGTCCCCATGTACGTACTCTCTTGTTTGATGTGGGGGATTGAGGTCGATTGAATTGACGATTTATGTTAGATACTATAGTATATGGGAGATGATATGATGAAAGAGAAAAAGGAATATTGGCTCTTAACGAAGATAAGGATTTATAAGGTACAATATATGTATATTTCTAGCGAATATAACTATTTTCACGGATAACTCCTACACGCACCGAAAAATGGCATAGTTAAAATAAACACTTTCATATTTAAATAATAAAAATAAATATACTATATTAAGTTTATATATATATAATATATATATATTTATTTTAAATACGAAATATATTTATTTTAAATTCCTCATCATTTCCACTCGCGTGCTAAATGTCTAAATGAATGCGTGTTACAATGATTATTTTAAAACAAATGATTTCCCCCGTTACCCTCTTTTTCAAACTTACCCTTGAAGCAGCACCTCTTGCTCTTGATCGCATAAATGCAGAGGCACACAAGCAGCAGGATGGCGGCCATGCAGCCACCGGCCACGCCCATCATGTAGCTCATCTCGTAAGGTTCTGTCCGGCACAGCGGTGGAGGATATTCAGCAGAAGGATATCGTTATAATCGATGTGTTGATTATGCAAGTATTAACAGGAATATTCATTTTCATATGCAACATAGTACTACGAGTACGAGTACGAGTACGAATACGAATACGTATTGTAATAACGTGACGCATATTCGTATTGTTTGTGCGATTGATTTTAATTAAAATCGTTTGGGATATGATGATGCAGGGGTGTGTTTGGATGTGATATGATATAATATTTAATGAGTTGCATGTGCATTCGATGCGTAAATATTGAATATTGCTAGTGTAATTGAAATGCAATTCGAATGCGGGATGATGGTGCAATGAAGATGCGGGTGGGGCAGTGGGAGGAGTTACGGGGGTAAAGAAAAATAAAGAAAAAAGTTCTATGCACCTGCAAACGTACCCTCCACAATCAAATGTATGGCATGGCGATCAGTGCCCCGCTCGTTCTCCACCACTAGATAATATGGCCGGGAGTCGTGCTCATCGGTGTGATGGATGTTCAGGGTGGACAGGTAGCAATCCTCGCGAGAGTCCTGCAGCATATCATCCGCCCGGAAGCGATCTGAAATGGGAATGAGAGAGAGAGAAACATTTTGTTGAATTGGCCAAATAATTGCACTCAAATTACACACAATTTGTCGGGGGGGTGGGGCGGGCGGTCTGACATTAATCATTCGATTCGATGGGCTAACTAGCAATGCCATGAAATGGCTTTGGACTGGGGGATTGGAATGCGCTTCGCTTGATTTGTGTCGGTGGCAAGCGAACACGCAGGATTACACGCACGAAGGATGCCGCTGGATGGACACGGACACGGACAGCTGAAAATGAAGAATAATGCTAGCCAGAGCCATCAGAGCCACCAGAGCTACCAGATTCGTTGCAGTTCAAGGGCAGATGCCTCGGGAAGGAACGAAACTGCAGAAAAGAGTTTCAGCTGGAAAAACGAGCTGAAAATGCCCGCGTATGTGTGCGTGTGTGTGTGTGTGTGGGGGTTGTCCGTTGGAGCTCGGATTACCCGGCGGCTGACAGGCGTGGCAAGTCTGCTGCTACGGGGTGCCTTTCTAACGTTGCCTGCCAGTGCCGCTGCCACAGCCATTGCCTCTGTCCTCTTCATTCCCATTCCGTATCCCCGACGCGGACATGACACTGGCGGTTTTCTTGCCCAACTCTGACTCTGACTCTGTTTTCCTCGTGCAATTTGTCTTGATTTGTGGATACTCTCTACCGCGAATTGAATGCCAAAAAATTGGTTGGAGAGCAACAACCATAATGAGCCCTCCAGCAGGATCTACCGCTAATTGAATCCGGAATAGCCACAACTAAGGCCAAGTGAAAGCCTAATTGCATTTTCATTAGGCGCCCAATGAAGCGCAAACTAAACGCTGAACTTTAACTGGTGGCTGCCACATCAAAGGGTGTGGGTGTGGCTGTGGCTGTGGCTGTATGTATATACGCACCTATTCCCGAACCGGCCTCGAGACGCAGTGAACCCCATTCCCAGGCGACGCGCAGTGGCCGTGGATCCGCACAGACGACCATTGTCAGGATGGCGGACTCTCCTCTTTTCACGGAGATGGTGTGCATCGAAGGATGCAGACGTAGAACCTGTGGGGCACCTGCAAATACAATGGAACAAATAATAGAAAAAGATTTGGAGTTAGGGGTATAATTGCATTAAAAGAGAACAACGTTTGGTCCTTAAGAGATGGCTTTTTAATTGAGTTTTGGTCGTCACAAACGGATTCAACGAGCTGCATTGCTGAATGAAATTATACGTGTATAAAAGGGTTTGGAGGGGTGCAGTTTTTCGCCTGAGCCTTTCAACATTTAACAGTCTTTCCCATACTTTTTCCCTTTATTTCCTTGGGGTAAGTCATAGGAAAATTCCTGGAACGGTGTAGCCTTGTCCACGTTCTACTTCTTGCTCTGAGAGGAAAAATCTTTCTCCCATAAATTATATAAAATTATTAAAAGGGGTTGCAGTCTTTCCTCCAGCATAGTTTTTCTTTTAAAGAGAGGGTAAATCTTTCCGTACCATAAATTACATCAAATTGTTTGAAAGGTGTTGCCAACTCCTATTTCCTCAAAGAGGAAAGCTTCTTCAGGAAATCCAGGGGGAGAACAAGCCAGTATAGTGCTCCAGAGGGTCAACAACTTTGCCATTTTTAATGAGGTATTTTGTATTTTCTCCCCAGTTTTATTTTTTGGTGACACTCTCTCTGTCTCTCTCTGGATTGCTGGTGCAACTACATATATACTTAGTTAGTTCGTTAGTTACTTCACACACTCCCTCCCAGTTCCCAGATATAATGTGGTGTCCAGTTTTTTCGGTTCATATATATGATATACATGTACATATATTTATTCCCTTTTTTTGTGCACTTTTTTCGCCTTGGTGGTGCTGCTAAATTGCTCGTGTCCTTGGTTGGTCATAAATTATGTACGTGCTGTGGTATTCAGCACTAAATTTAAATATTTCTTGCTTCTCTGTTTTTTTTTTTACATTTTTTCTGTGCGCTGTCCAGTTTTTTTCCCCGCTTCGGGCAGTGGCCGTGGCAGTTTCTCCGTTTATTTTTTTACGCTGGCACTGCGGTCATAAGTTCATTTTGATTTTGTGTTACGTTTTGGTTTAGTCTGTTGCCCAGTTGCTACATGCCACCGCCGCGCAATTCTGTGGCATGGAGTGGCGGTATCGTTGCGAGGCGGCAACGCAAGCGCTTAAAATGTTTTGCTGGCGCTTTCCGGCTCCAGCTTTTAATGGAGTTTTGTTAGTTGTTTTAAGTGTGCATTAGTTGCACGGAGTGTTGCCAGGACCCAAATGAGTAGCCCGAAGAGCGGCACAGCTACAGCGTACCCTGCCCTGAAGTCCCATCTTTTCTCGCCTGATTGTCACCTTCTCTGTAGGTATTGCGGTTGCAGGTCCTGCCACAGAAATTGACAGCTGAGAGAGAGATGGAGATTTATGACTGCTACTATTCCTCCCACAGCAGCTCTCATAGTAGTGCCCCCTCTCTTCGGCAGAGCATACGCCATTCGTTGATTGCTCAACCCTTTCAGATCCTAACGTTGTCGTCATATCTTGTGGTCTCTGCGGTTTTCTGCAGAGATATGCTGGTGTACTGGTACATGGACTTACCCACAACTTGCAGGGAGACCGGATCGGATATGGCCACTCGCTCCTGGCCATTGATGTAGCTGGTGGCACGGCACTCGTACTCGCCCTGATACTCGTAGGTGACATTGTCGATGACGAGACGGGGCTCGTTGCCCCGTTCCACATACTTGGAGCCATGCGAGATTCTACGGAAGCACAAAGAGAGATTGATTATGATTATGTGTGGTCTTCTAATATGGGTGATGATATGATGCCTTTCCCCCATTGATGCATACTTCCATCAAAATGAAAACAGATGCATGCAGCCCCCCGCTGTGTGCTGTGTGCTGTGTGCGTTTGTGTCTCCACTCGATTGCATATCCTTCTTCTCTGGCTTTCCAATATTGAAAATTGCGTATGCGTATGAGTTATTTTTCGGTGCAGGCTGCCTGCCTTCCTGCTTGCTGCACGGAGTGCCCTCTGACTCTCCCTGGCTATCCAAAGAGCTGGTACACAGAAATATTTGATACATTTTTAATATGAGAAATGCCTTTCAAGCTGCGAAATGCTTTGGCCTCTGCCATGCTTCTCATTTTTTTTTTGCCTTCCTTTGTGGGTTCTTTTTATGGTCATACGATGAAGGAGAACTTTAAGAGACTGCTTTAAGGGTATCCTTGGGGTTTCAGCAATTAAAAGCAATAAATTAGAAAGCCATTCAAATGCAAATCGCCAGCGTCAAAAAAGTTTGGACGAAAGGAGGCTAAAACAACACAGAAATCACGTAAATCAAATTGACAAGGACTCCGTGTGCGACTCTCTCTGTGCTACGGGACGGTGATACCTCCGTGGTTGTTGCACTTGCAACCAAAGAAAGACCTTCAAAGAGGAGGACCTTCGAAAAGGAGATTAGAGTGCTCCTGAGCATACGTTGTGGCCTGTCAGCGGCTCACTCCGTGGCATTGATTTATTATCCGTCCCACCTGTGCCCCCAAATGGTGAGGCGACTCCCGCTGTTTACTTAACGTGGCACGCGCCATTTAATGTGGTGCCACAGGAGGTGGCATGGTGGTGCGCTGGTGGGGTATTTCAGGGGTGGCAGACTGTGGTGTGGCATCGAGTACATGCGTGGAAATTAGTTTTCAACAATTGACATTTAATTTCTGATAAACACGCGCGCGTTTTGCTTCATTAAGTCAACACGTCAATGTGTTGCATGTGGCATTCGTTATTAGACGGGCGACACCTACACAAAACGCTGCCACGCCCACGCCCACTCCACATATCCTCCCACCCGATCACGATCTAAAACCCAGTCTTGTACGAGTGCGAGCACGAGTACGAGTATGTTGCATGATGTTTGCTTGATTGTCTAGGGGGAAAGTGCAAACAAATGGAATCACAAAAATCACGTACTTATGTGGCAATAGCAACAGAAGAGTGGAAAGAGAGTGGTGGCATATAGAGAGAGAGAGAAAGAGATGGATAGCTGTAGACAGTCATATGCATGAAGAGTGTTTTCGATTTTTCCACAGGCTTTACCTGCTTTGCATACTAATGCCTAGCCTGAAAAAAGTGAAAGACGAGAGGGAGAGCAAGGAATGGCAGCAGCAAACGGAAGGAACCTAATCCAGCACGCATCATATGCGGGGGCTGCTTGATACCCTCTTAAAAAATGGATATATGGGTTAGAAAATGAAGTTTGTCTTTCCAAATGAGAGAGGTGCTCCCAGTTTCTTTTAATATGAAAGCTGAAGGAAGGCTTTAGCAACTTTTTAGCTGTGTTTGGAGTGTGGAATTTATAGTTTCCAATTTATCATTACTGATATATTTCGAAAGCTAAATCGATGGTTCGTTACAGGGTATGCCCTCATCGGTTACATCCACACCCCCCTCCACTTTTATTGTGGTTTTCCCTCAAGATGCAGACAATTTCCGCTGCGTAGCTAATTAAAATTACGCAAAGTATCATCATCATCATCATCTGGCAGTGGGTGTGGCCTCAGCTAAGAAGGAAATGTGCAACAGGAAACGCGCTCATATAAGAGGGAAATGTTCTTTTCCTATCAAGGTGAGGCTTGCTCTGGTGGTTGGAGGTCGTGTGCTAGTCTTACTCATAATTATAGACTAAAGTGCAAATGCAAATTCCTTTTAAAGGCTTCAATTTGAATGAAAAGCAAATATTGCGCATACGCCGCATGAGCCGGGGTTTAATTAGCGCCGCCAGCCAATCCACAAACAATGGCCAGAATCAGAATCCGAGGCAGAGTGGAGAGAGAAGAGGGAGTTCATAAGGAGAAAGGCCACCACACTAAGCCTCGACCTCGCTTGGGCCGCCCAAAAGTATGCAACGGAAATTGTTGGAGCCTACCGAAACGCGGGCCACCGCAAGTGAATATCTGTGTGCATATCTGTGTATAAATGGGTGTATATATATATCCTGGGACTCACCTCTGCACCCATTTATAGGATGGCATGGGATTACCCTCTGCAACGCACTCGAAGGCAGCCGGACTGAACAGGGGAGCGGTGGTGAGGCGATCCGGGCCAGCTGAAACAATTTTGGGCGGATCTAAAGAGAGAAAATGGTAGAGAGAGAGAGGGAGAGAGAGAGGGTTTGGTGAAAACTTTGGCCAAGATAAATACTCCACCGGAGAGAGGTAAAGCGAAAAGGAAGGTAAAGTTAAGGATACGTACATTTCACATCCAACTGCACCGACAGCTGCTCCGAGGTTCCCACCGAATTCTGCGCCTGGCAGGTGTACAGTCCAGCATCCCTCCGCCCAACGGGACGCAATTGTAGAGTTTCCTGTCCAGATACGGAGGGGTAGAGGGAAGGGAAAGAGAAGGCAATTTAATACAATTACAAATTTCTGCTACACTTCAGATAAATACCCAACGAAGGAGTAGAGGAGGGACAGTGTGGAAGACAATTTTGGAACAACATAAACAAGAAGGAGCAAGGATTTCTCCTCTTGGGATTGGGATTGCAGGGTTGCTGGATTGCAGGGAGGTGCAGAACTCACCTGTAGGCTAGCTATCTCGGAGCGACCAGCCCGTCGCCAGACGATGCTCGCCGGCGGATTGGCATCGGCCACGCAGCGCAGGACGAGCGCATCCTTATCCTCCTCCAAGTCGATTTCCGGTGAGCCAATTAGACGAATGCTCGGCGCATCTGCAAAAGACCAGACCCCAGACCAGACGAGAAACGTTCAAGTTGGGTAAGCAAAAACAGGAACCAGAAACAGATATAGAAACAGAAACAGAAACAAAAACAAAAACAGAGCAAACAGAGTCAACAAGCCAGTCCAGGCCAAGTCTCTGGCTGTGAATGTGGATGTGGCCCTGGCGTTGGTCCTCCTTCTGGCCACGTCCTCTGGGACAAGTCAACTCTTGAATTGCTCAGCAAAACAGGAAATTACAGCAAATTGTTGTTAATTTAATTGTTACAGCTCTGTTTCTGTTTCTGTTTAGTTCTTTTGACTCTAAGCCAAATCAAATGATGGCACTCTGCTTGTCTAGACCCTGGGATGCAACTGATTCAAAGTTTGAACAGTGGCTTGGGTTTGTTGGGGGGTACTCACATTTCACATCGAGGCGGGCTTCGACGGGCGTCGATTTGGCCGAGTAGGACTCGTGGAAGGCCGCACAGCGCAGCATGTCTCCGTGACGCTCTCGCATTGCCGACACTTGCACCACGGAGGTGGAGGACCAAGTGCGTGGATTATCCGGCTCGGTGGCATTCATTTGTGGGTGCATCGCAGAGATCTCCTGGTCGCCTGCAACAGACACACAGACAGAGAGAGAGAGAGAGAGACAGAGACAGAGAGGAGGGAGAATGAGAACCGAGTAAAGGAAATGGGAAATGGTTGGCAAATTAATTAACAGGACAATGACCAGGGGGTCGTCAGTGTCCCTGCCCGTGTCCATCAGGATAACAACTGCAATCAATGGGGCTACCAGACACTTACCCAAATACCATTTGAGGGTGGCCGGCGGATTACCATAATGTGAGACACACTTCACTGTCGCCATGGCGCCAGCATCGACGGTGATGTTGTGCCCCGGCGGCACGTGGACGGCCTCGTACTCGAGTCGAGGACGCTGTGGCGCCACTGCAATCGAGAACAAAGATTAGTACAATTAAAAGTGGGGACAGGACATCTTCCACAAGACAGCTCGAAAAATGAATTAAATGATGACTGAAAGGGTTCCAGAAGAGTCCTGGCGCTTTCGTATACGTACCACGTACGACCAGGCGAACCGGTTGACTGGTCAGGGCATCCTGCGTGGTAAAATCACTGGCCGTCACTTGGCACTCCCACAGGCCGTCGTCAAAGTCCAGCGTAGCGGAGCGTATCCACAGCGAGCAGTCGCCGCCAATTTGCTCTGCCGGCGGATGGAGATCCAGATGTAAGACATTCCCATTCTCGTTCGTACCCATACGTGAGGCCCATTCGTATTTCTTCGTATAGATGCCAACGGGCTAACGGATGAGAGAAGACCGGGGTTTTCCGGATTAGTTCAAGCTGAAACAAAGGAGGAGGAGTCCCAGAGCAGGATAGGACTGCGATGTCGATGGCGATGAAATGAACTGGGCGGCGGCTGGCATGTCCTCTACGACATGTTTAGCATGTTTAACTTTTGCGATCTAGTCGGGCGTGTAATTTCGTCTACGATTTGCACAAACATCCTACAGACAGTCATCGCCTGGTCATCCCCTATTTGCTATTCCCTATCCAGCCCTCCTTCCTTCTTCCCCACTTAACTCCATTCTGCAGTGCTGCTTCTCCGTCTGTAAATTGGCATTAGTTTGTTTGCTAATTGGAAATTAAATTACAATTAGTGATCTCTCAGCGTTCGCATTTAAGTATTTATGGAGACCGAGACCCCTCTCTTTGCCTTTAGAAAGAGAGAGAGGGAGAGAGAGAGTGGGCTTCCGCCTAATTGCATTTTGGCTTTGAATGTTGTGTCTGTGTTTTCTGCTGGCCTAATGGGTTAAATTAATTGCAACATTGAATTTGTGTCCATTGAACAACATTTATTGAAAGAAAATGGACAGGAAAATGGCTGTGAGAATGGCACAGGATGGAAACCCAAGGGAAGGAGACAGCATCAGCTAATCTTATCTTCAAATGCATAGAATTCCGTAGAATACCAGCCACAAAATGCATTTTGATTGTCACATATGTGTTCATTAAGCGTACATTTCTCGAATACATACGCATTTTAAGAGCAGAACCACCTTTTGATGGGTTTTGGTATCTCTGTTTTATTAAATAGCTTGCGGCTGATGGTCTGGCACATATTTGAGATATTATTCCATTTGACCCCGCACCAAAACGATAGAAAACATAGTTCAATGGGCTGGCTGGACGTTGGGTCAGCCAGGGGTTAAGTGTGTATGGTAACAATGGCGAAACCAGAGAGATATATAGTCATAGTGAGAGGGGATAGGGAGAGAGAGGATAGGCTCCTGCCAGAAAACTGCCAGAAAAACAATTTCCACAAAAAAAAAGAGAGAGAGAGAGAGAGGGAAAATGGCAACCCCAAATCGAGTAAATATTTGGCTCTGGCCCCCATTGCTGTTGCCAAAACATTTCCCATTTTCCCCCAATCGATATTCATATCGACATAATTCTCCACATTTTCCAGGAACCTCCCCCTCGCACCGCACACTCCGGGAAAAACTGCAAAACTGCATAGCAGCCAAACAACAAAACTTGAGGCACAGAGGAAAAGTCGGAAAAGCTCGTTTTGTTTGCCATAAAAAAAGAAAGTTTGATGCCCAAAAATTACATTTATTCAAACGGCTGAACTCCCATACTATGCAGAGTATGTGTAGATGAGGATGCGGATATCATCCTGCTTTGAATTTATCAGGAAATGCACTCAGCAGAGGGTATAGATGTGGAAAAGCACCCAGGGTTGGTACCGGCATCCTTTTTGGCTCAATTAGAATGCATCAGGGGCATTGCCACCCCTTCGTTTTTTGGGACAACAAAATATCCCCAAAAATACATAGCATCTGTACTTATAATAACTACACATAAAATCTATGGTAAAACCATATACCGAAATGTAAGAAAATTGAGAGAACGTTGAGCGAAAAGAAGGCAGGCTTTGGAGCCGAAGACTTTGATACTCTTAAGGATTGATCTTCTTTTATTGTACGTGTATGAATATATGATCCAGCAGCACCATGGGTGTCGGACAAAGGAACTAAAGGTCAATGCTACTTCTACTAATTCCATCTACTTCTGTTCAAAATAAAGATATGCGTATCTGTTCCCTTTTTGTATTTTAAACCTCTCCCAAAAATCATCATACCCCTCGTTAAGAGTATACGAAATATTTAGAAAAAAAATGGTAAAAATATGCAAAAATAAGAAGAATTTTAAATGAAACCCGAAACAGCAACATCAGCATCATGTATGTGGGTATGTGAGAGTGAGTGCTACGCTCGATGCATGCAAATGATGTTTGTCCTTTGGTCTTGTTCTTCTGCTACCCTAGTCTGTCCCCTATTTCCAGTGCCACTTCCGTTTCCGGTTCCACTCTTCCGCTGCTGCTCCTCTTTGGCTCCTTGGACTCCTTGGAGTGGAGACACAAAGCATGTAAACATTTAAGTATGTGCTGCAAAAGCGAGGAGTTTTGCGATGCGCAGCATATGAAAAAGGACATTTGAAATGCTTTCTGATTTTTGTCATACAATGGACCAAGACACCCTCTCCCTCTATGCAATGGTATTGTATTCCCTGATCCCCGCGGAGCATGCATTTGCATAAGCAACTGCCCCACAACAAGTGGAGGCAGGGGCATGCAGCAAATAAAAGTTATGCTTCAAACGCACACAATTGCCATGAATAACAAGCAGCATACACCCCTCTGTGGCTGCTGCTGGCCCGTTTTGTGGCTAAAGCAGATTCATAATGAGGCCATTTTGGAATTGCTATGCAAACTAAGATGGCCATGGCCCTGCAGTTAAGTCCCTCCCCCTCCCTCCTCCTCCATAATAACCATGGTAAATGCCAAGAAGTTTACGAAAACTCACATCTGAGGTAGCAGAAAATTTCTCTATTCATAACAATAAAACATACCTAATTCTGAGGAAGAGGGAAATGTGGAATTATTGCTCTATTCGAATGCTCTCGAAGAGGGAGGGAGGGACAGGGATAATTTCTCTATTGTAATATTCTTCGTTGGAGTGAATTTTTCATTATTTTTAAATCTCAACTATCTCAACGGGCTGCCGTACATCGTATACTAATGGATTTTGTGAATAAAATTAGCTTTGCAATGAAAAAATCACCGACTGGTGATAGTCTCCTCCTTTCCCGTGTCTATGCTGATCTGTCCCTTTAACCTCCCGTATTTCAATTAATAAGACAGGGTAAAATCTGCTCATCTTAAGCACTTTTTTCTAGTAGTATCTGTTAGAAATATATGTCTTTAGTTATTTTAAGGTTCTCTTTCTCTTGAACAGGGCATGGGGGACTAGTTGTGTGTTTTTTCGGTCGTGCCTATATTTCCTACATTGATAATATTTTTATTATGCAAATGCAATGCTCAATCCAATAGTTTCCTTCATAGAGCGACACTCATATTGAATTTTCATCGACATTTAACCACATTTAATTCTGTCGATTGCTTTTTATGGAAGAGGCACCCTCACAGAACCTTTTTATAGATTAAAGTATATTGAAATATAAATGAAAATAGAAAATAAATTTTCCAACAAAAAAAATATACATATAATGGACCATGAAAACTAGGTTGGATTCAAAGAGGTTTTAAAGATGCCACACTTAGCATCAAGAGAAGTTTCTATGCCTATGTTATCATTGTTATATAATAGGAAGATGGAATACTTATGTCCCCAATGATTTCCTTGCAAATACCCAGCATATTCCCATTATAATGGCTGTCAGTTTTATGACAGAAACCAAATAAATTCCATAAAAATTGGCGCTGGAGTTCATTTTGGGCCATCAAATGAAGAGAGAGAGCGTGAGCCTCGAAGCGTTTTCCCGTGAATTCCAATTGAGTTGGCCAACTCCACCATCGGTCCACCTCAGTCCCCTCCGCACTGTCACGCACTTTCGATTAAAACTTGCGCTACGCTGCGCTGCACGGCATTGCTCTTGGCAAACATGGTTCTAATCAACAGAGAAACAAAGAAGTCTCGAGTCCCCGCCGCCTTGGGGGAACTTTTTGGCTTTCATTATTGACTTGTCCGGGATGGCCAGGGTGTAAATTACGAACGCCACATGGAGACCAGGCCACAAACAGAGGCCAAAAGAACAACACTTAATTGAACCACAGGACGAGCCACGAATATGATATGAGGCCCAGAGCCTTGGACACGTCTGACGGTGTCGGTGTCGGTGTCGGTGTCGGTGCATGTGCGTGTGCGTGGGCTGTGAGAGTTTTGGCCAAGTTATGAGTTTAATCAAAATGTTTAGAAACTAGGGCCGACGCCGCCGCCATCGATAGATGTGAGTGTGAGGTGTGTGATGTGGTTGATATAATTACCTTGTTATCCTTCTGCCAGGAGCACGTGCCCCGCTTGTCGATTACTTTGCATGTGAGCAGCGTATCCTGTCCGGGATTCACTTCCGTGTACTTGGGCTGTTCTGAGAACCGCTGAAAGCACTCGATGCCTGCAAATGAGAGGAGAGAGCAGAGAGAGAGATGGATGAGCACATTGCAAATGTATGGGTCTGTCATTAACATGTACTACTTCCGAGGCGCATGTAAGTATGCTACATTTCCTTAACCCTTCTTCCGGTTCCCTTTCCTTTCTTTCGGTTCTTTTCCTTTCAAAGTCCCTTACTGTATTTGTCACTCCCCCCCCCCACACACACACACTCACACACACACATACACTGGAAAAGCGGGCAATTATGAACGCTTCGCAGCATGGCGGCCATTTGCTTATCTCTCCCTTAATGCCCTTGCTCCTGCCACTCCATTCTTTCATTATCATTTGACTGCCTTCTTCTTACCCGTTCCACCAGTTTCTTTTTTTATATTTTTTTTTGTACGCGTAGCGCGGAGAATTTATGTTAATTGCTGGCATGTTGAATATTTTCTCCGCACTTGCACTCAATTACACCAATTACAGGTGGAAAATTACACGCGCTGCTTGCTCAAGATAATGAATGTGGGGCTTGTGGGTGGGAGTGCTAGAGCTGGGAAGTGTTCGAGGAAGAGGGCTGGGGAGGAGGTCAGGGCGTGCCTTGCAACTTCAGCTTGCCTAATGGTAGAGGAGGCTTCCGCCAGCCAGCTTCTTGAGACCTCCATTTACTCGAGCTCCAGGAAAAGCGTTTAGTCAGTTAGTCAGCGAGTAAGTCATGGCTTTTAAATCCACTGAAAAAACAGTTAGTTGCTCCAAAAATATGGCCTATTTTTCAATAATTCAAAGAAGAATTTCTTGGAAAAACTACTCAAAAAGGATATATATTCTTTGAAAAATATCATCAAAAATACCAACAGATAATTGGAAAGAGAGAGAGAGAAAGATGCGTTAAAGGAATTGGAAAGGAATAGGGTGGTAGAAAAAGAATAAAAAAAGGGAGCACTGGCGATAGATTAGGGTACTCGAAATTTTTTAAATGCATTTCGATATATGTACATATATACACACAGAAATCACAAACAATTTACAAATACTTTAACAAAACACTCAACCCCAAAACACTACAATACTAAACTCCATTGTTCGCTTTCGATTAAGAACTTTGTTAGAAATTTCTTTGAGTGCATTGCCCAAAGAATTGCTTCGATATCAAAAGGTCAAGGCTTAATTGAAGCCTTTTGGCTTTTTAATTGCTGTTTGCTGGAGAGTTCGGTCACAAGCTGTCATCGCTCACAATGGGGCTGGCTGGGAGGGTGGGCGAGAGGGTAGGGGCGCCTCCGCTTATCGACCTTTGTTCGGCTGTCAACTCTCGCTTTTCATGGGTGTGCTTTTGCTTTTCCAAGTAGTTGGGGGTGGGTTACTGGGTTTTACACGACATATTCTCGTATAAATGTTGGCATAAAAAAAATCGCATTGCGTGCTGGTGGAAAAGCAGCACGTGACTACCGTTAGCTGGCCAGCAAGCAAATCCCTTTCCGCCTCACGTTCTGTTCCATATTTTGACCCACCAAATGCTGAGCCCTCCACACAGATACCCCCACCCTCCCTCGCACATGCGGACATTCACTCACGCAATGATTTATTACGCGTGATTGGCGTGATTGCCACTTTGCTGCCTTATTTCAGCTTCCCCTCTCCGTGTCCCTCTTCCACCGGTGGGCGGGGTGGCTGGTGTGTGTCGCCAGTTCCCGTGGCATGCCACCGAGTTCCGCTTGCTGTTGCTGTTGCTGTTGGTTTCTGCTGCCTTTTGGGGGCCTTTTATCGGCTTTTGTATAAATTGGCTTTGTATTTCAATTACGTTGGGGAGCGGCATGCCACAGGCTCGCTCTGATATCAAATACATTGCATGACGAGTTCCCTGGGATTGCAGTTCCATGCCTGATTTATGGGGCCTAAACTTAACAAGTTTTCCCAGTCTATGAACACTTTTCCGGGGGAGAGTTCTGAGTAATTTTTGCGTGACCAAACAAACGGCGCTCCACTTAATTGAAACGCATTGAAATGTAAAGATTTGCCTCTCCAAAAACCGCTGGTAAATAAAAACAGAAAGGAAAGTTCTCAACGAGAGCCGAAGCATATGATACCCTGAAGGATCGAAAGCCTGTTGCCGTTATGCAGAGTTACAGCCAGAAAAGTTGGGCACGCTATAGGCACAATCATAGTACTTCCAGCAAAGTGTATAATAAAGCAATGCCGCAAAACAACAGCAGGAAGAATAAATAAAACAAGGGAAAACCGTTGCCTATTTGCATGGGGCAAATAAAAATATTAAAAATAAATAAGGAGCAGCGGAGAAATTTTGAGCAAACGCCTAGAAATGGATGCCAGTGGAGGAGGAGACGCAGCTGTAGTGCTGTTACTCCTTCCAGTCAAAGGCTCCTTAGGACAACGGCTGAGCCGGGACCAGAGACAGGACCAGGACCAGCGCCAGCTGCGATTGCAGTTTTAGCTGCCTGTTTGGGTCCTGCTGATCCTGCTCCTCCCCTGCTCCGCCAGCTTCAAGTGCGTGCCGCTGAGTGCTGCTTACAGGATTGTTTCTGCTGCTCCTGCTGCTTTTTGGCTCGTGCCTTCAAGTGGCGTTGTTGTTTAGTCCGCCTCTGCTCTCCCAGCTCTTCCCTGCTCTTTGAGAGCTTTACGTGCCTGTGCACTGCCAACAAGGATAACAATTACTCTAGCAGCATGTCCGCCATTCTGCGCTGTCTCATCTGTTTGATGGCACGCTCTTGCTCTTGCTCCTCCTTCGGCAGGAGTTCGTTCGTTTGGGTATGGTATGCAATAGGGTACAGATACTTCTGTTTGTTGTCGACTTTAGTTGTTTTATTTATTCTCAATTGTTTAGCGCTTAAATGCTTTAAATGCCTGTTTAAATACATTTTGGCATTGCGTTCGTTCTTGTACGCTTTCGAAATGCGTGTCCGTGTCCCGTGATGAATTTTGTAGTAAGCTTCTAGCACCGGACCGTGCCTCTCCCAGGGACCCTCCTCCACAGCTCCCTCTGCTGCTGCTCTCCAATATGTCAGACGCACATTTCGGTGTTCTCCTGCCATCCTGCTATCCTCCCATCTCTCATTCCTCTGGCTCTGGGTCTGGCCCCATGCCCCTTGGCTGTCTAGTGCCAGGCGGCTGCTGCTGTTGCTGCTGCTGTTTACTTTTGATGATGCATTGCAGCGTAATAATTTCACGTAGCCGTCCACGGCACGCAGCCCAAAACGACAAATGGCAGTGGAAGAGTGGGCGTTGGAGCAGTGGGGGACCTTGGGGCAGGGATCAACTGGGTCAACTGGTCGCGAATGGGACCTCTCTTAGCATCTGGTCAGTTATAAAATGCTGTTTGGGCTGTTCTTCAAGTGCTGGCCCCCCGCCCACAAAAGCGACATTACTCATACGCAACGTGGTCCAGGGAGAACAAACTGCTCCGCTCTTTTCTGCAGTTTAGCTTTCGTTAGAGGAAAATTTAAGAAAAATTCCCATCTGGGAGTCAGGGCTCTCACTCACTCAGCTTCCATTCACAGAGAGATTTGCTCCCACACATCGAGACATGGAGAGGCATGAATTCCCTGTACAGTGGGCGTATGTCCCCTTTCCACCTCCTTTGTTGGCAATCAATGAAAGCAATTTGTGAATCTCTTGTGCGATTCGGGGACATACAAACGAGCTCAAGGACACACACCCACACATACACCCACATATGTACTCCCGCTCCTGGACAATCTCTCTCTCAAGGAGGAGATATCCCGGAAAAGGTATTGGCAGATACGAAAATCTTATATGCAAATCAAATATGCAAGATGATTTGTAAATTCTTAGCAAATGTATTTTATGTATAAAATACGGCAGGATACACAGGGGGAAAATCACCCCGACACCCCACTCTGGCCGCAACAACAGGATTCTAAGGCTTAAACTTTTTAAACCTGTTCCACATCATCGCGCCCTGGAAACGATTCCTCCCAAGCAAGGTGCTAAGCAAACATGCAAGCTGTGAGGATTATAAAAAGGAGGGAAAACGAAAAGGGAAGAAGACCAGAAGGAGGAGCAAAGGAGGCAAGCAAAAAGGATGGTCCAACAACTCAGGCAACAGCAAACGCGCAAAGCGTTTTGTAACAACAAAACAGCTCAGCACCAGGACCCTCCCCAACCGTCCCCTCCCAGCCAGTACCAGGCACCAGACACACACTCCTCCATCTCCATTCAGTGAGATCCCATGTCCTTAGGTCCTTCGTATGTGCCTGGCATCCCTCACCATCCACCTACTTAAGCATAATGATATATTTAGCTTGCCAAGTGATTGTTATTTGATATTCAACAGATTTCTCCTCAGCTTTTGCTTTTCCTTTTCCTCTTTTTTCCGTTTTAACATGGAGCGCCCAGACATTATGGGGCCGCGCCTTTTGTTGAGGTTAAATCGATGCGTGCTTGTATTATTTCATAAGTTTATGCATCACACACTCCTTAGAGCTGTGTGTGTGTGTGTGTTTAAGTGTGAGTCACTCATGTTTTACTGGCCAGCGCTGCGTATGCGTAATGTCAGTCAAACCGTCAGTCAGTTATGTTTGACAAACAGCATACTTGTGCGCAAAGAGGGTAGGCCCTCAGCCATCAGTTCTGTTTGACAAACAGCATATGAAAAGTGATTTGTAAATTGACAAAATAGCCCACACTTGACACACACACTTAGCCCCTTCCTGTCCACCCTTATTGAGGGGCTGTCCACCCTTAAATAGGGGGCTGTTTCACCCCCATTAAACCCTCTCTTTAGAGCTGTCCATCTCTATAGCCTCATGCCACATTTTCGTTAGACAATAAATGACACGTTTTGTCGTTTACATTTTTCATATTTTCATAGCTCATTGACTGGCACGCGAAATGGTTTGGAACGAAATACAACATGCCACGCCTCTTGCCATTGCGGCCATTGCTGCCACTGCTGCCACTTCTGCTACTTTTCCCCATTGTTTGACACTCGAAGTTTATGCATTTATTTGTAGCAGGCGGCATTCGAGTCCCTAGTCCTCAGTCCCG